GTTGATCGCGGTGGGGCCCCCGTGGAGGGCTGAGTCGGGGCCCCTTGTTCAGGGAGAGGTGGGCATGCAGTGCACCAACAGGGTGGCTCTGGCGAGTTTTGGGGAACCTCCCGGGACGTATACGCTGGTTGACTGTTGACCTGAGGGAGGACTTGCTCCCTGGCAACCAGTGGGCCCCAGAGGCTGCTGACAGCCCGCCCAGGAAGACCAGCGTGAGGTCTCAAACTTTAGTGAACTTTGGTCCACTTTACTTATTTTAATTTTTGAGACAGGGTCTCACTGTGTAGCCCAGGCTGGTGTTGAACTCACAGAGATCCTCCTGCCTCAGCCTCTCAAGTGCTAGGATGACAGGCATGCGCCACCATGCCTGGCTGTGAAGGCAGGTTTCTGTCTGGAGCTGTGTGTGAGTAGAATGTGCCTCTGGTTTTCATAGGGTGAATGTGACTGGCAGAGTCCTTTCCTGGTCCTCCTGTCTTGTGATCCTGTGTTCAGGGCACAGTTGAAAGCACCCATTTTATAGGCACAAAACTGAGGCACAGGTGGTGAGTAATTTGCCTCAGGCCGTGGAGTCATGGGAGTAGGAGCCTGAGACTGTGCAGCCCAGGACACTTGGTCCTCACTGGGGACAAGCAGGTGGCGTGGGCTCCCGAGGGGCCATGAGGAGACTGTGCCCTCGGGTTAGATGGGCTGGGTCCAAACCTCAGACGCCTCCACGCCCACCGCCACACGCACAGGGCCGCACTGCGTCTTCTGTGTCCTCACACCCTGCTGACCAGGCCCTCTGTGTTCCCTGGCAGGAAGCTGGGGACACTGGTCACGTGGCACATGATAGCCAAGCATTGCAGAATCTCATCTGTGTCAGAGGCAGCGGTCACCTGCTATCGGGTGACAGCAGGCGGCCCCCACGTGCTTCTGTCCAGTGGTTTCAGTGATACAGGGACTGAGCTGAGTGCACCAGAGTTTCCTACCTCCCTCACCCCCAGTTCTCTGAGGTTATTAAAAATTGTTAGGCACTCTGGGAAGCTGAGGAGGAGGATGTTGTGTTTAAGCCAAGCCCGGGCAACTTAGTGAAATCCTCGAACTTGTGGCGATCCTCCTGTCTCAGCCTCCCGTGTGCTAGGATTGAAGGTGTGTGCCACCATGCCCAGCTCGAGCCCCAGGAATCTTGCTCAGTGGGTCTGTAACATTCCAGAATTCTGTGATACACACATACCAGGATACATGGAGATGTCCTGCTGAATTTTCCCTTTACAGTTACACTTGAATATTAATGCTTACAGAGTGGAAGCTGCCCCCATCCATTATTTGGAAGCCTTGCCCTATCCTATTTTGGAGTCCTGTGGATTTCACTTCTAATCTTCCGTCTTATAGGCAGCTGTAATCCCCCGTTTGTGTGTGTGTGTGTGTCTCTACATTGCAGGGCTGTTCCCACTCCTGACAGTGGAATTGTGGTGCCGTTGTCCCCACCCTTGCGAGGGACCCAGCCTAGGGTGCCTAGGAAATGTCTGAGTCCAGGCTGCCTGGCTGGCCAGGGCCTTGCCTGTCCCTGGCTGGCGGGCTGTCTGGCACTGCTGCCCGAGGTGTCTCTGTGAACACAGCACGTTGCTGGGCTGGGCCAGGCGCCCTTACCTGTAGTTCTATTGAGGGTGACAGGTCCCAAAAAACGAGGTGCCCACGGATGGAAAGAAAAGTAAGAGAAACTACAAAAAGAAGAGAGGCAAAGTTCTGGGATCGGGGGCTTACAGCCTCTTAGACTGCAGCCTCGAATACCAATTTCAGTCACCTTTTACTGAGCAAGAACCAAGGGCGTAGCTAGTACAAACGGGTGGATCCCAAACATTTTAGCAAGGATAATTAAAGGATTATCCTTCTCCATGTGTAATCCAAGACACGTCTGTAATCCCAGCACTCAGGAGGCTGAGACAGGAGGATCGTAAACTCAAGGTTAATCCAGGCTGTATAATGAAGCCTTAAGAAACTCTTAACAAATAATAAACAAATCATTGTGTCCTCAATACATGCTAATCAAAGAATGTCCTCCACACTTACCCAACCGTGATCTCCCTGCTGGGCGGGCCTGAGAGCAGGACCCTGGGCTCCATGGGCTGAGGCCGGGCCTTGCATTCTGGTGAAAGTTCCCAGAAGACATTTCTTGGCACTTGGCAAAGCCCAGAGACAGAGTCTGGTGGTTTTGGAGTAAACGCAGAATTTCCTAACGTCCCTGAGGGACAAGGAGGCCTGGGACCTCTGTTCCTTCGTCCTGGTGGGGTGAGCGGTGCTGCTTTCTGGAGCAGAGGTCGCAGCGGGGCTTTTGAGCTCCTGTAGGCCCCTGTGCTCCCTGTGTCCCTGCTTTACCAGAAGGACCAAACGGCCGCAGAAAGCGCGCTCAGTTCCAGAAGGTCAGACTGAAGATTTATTTATTTATTTTTTCAAACTGAAGATTTAAAATAGAATTATGAGCCCAGCGCGGTGGTGCACGCCTGTGGTCCCAGCACTCTGGGAGGCCAAAGCAGGAGGATCACAAGTTCCAGCTCAGCCTGGGCATTTAACAGTTCAGTAAGACCCTGTCTCAAAATGGAAAATAAAAAGGCTGAGGATGCAGCTCAGTGAGGTTTCCAGTTCAATTCTCAGTACTGGAAAAGAAGGAAGGAAGGAAGGAGGGAGGGGAGGAAAGAAAGAGAAGAAAAATATATGTTTATGTGTTATATAACCTCAGAGTTCCTCAGAAGACGCAGCATAGTTTATCCTATCCAAGGCTGGCTGAGTTCTCCCTCAAAAACTTTAGAACTAGGGATTGTAGAATCCTCCTTCAAGGAAATAAAGCCCTGTCAGGTGAAGCAGCTATTTCTTGCCATATTTTGAGATGGAAATCCATAGATTTGAAAGTAACCTTGCCAGGTGTGGTGGCGCATGCCTGTAATCCCAGCACTCAGGAGGCTGAGGCAGGAGGATCTCCTCTAGTTCAAGACAAGCCTGGGCTACATAGTGAGACCCCTTCTCAAAAAACCAAGTTAAAACAAAATGCAAAAAAAGAAAAAAAAAAAAAGGAAAGGTCTGGCCTGGGCTGAACTGAACAAGGAGCAGGTGTCTTAGAGCTGTTGCACTGGAAGTGGAAGCATCTTGTTTGTTCTCTTCCCTGCTGTACTCATCTTCTGTTACCTTGAGGTTATGAAATTACTTTCCTTGGTCAAAACAACCCTCCCTCTGCCCGATCCTGATCCCGCATCCCTTTGGACACGAGGAATCGGGCAAGTGCGGCAGCGAGGATATTGTCTGGTGGTGTGAGAAGGGATCGGGCTGTTTTCCTCTAGCTGCAGATCTCCCCACAAGTCGGGTTCTTCCTTTAGTCTTTTACTTCAGAGGCAGCTGAAGGAAGTGACATCTGGGAGTCAGTGCCCAGCTGGGGGCTCTTTAAATATTTGCCCGGCGTTTATTATGAAGCGTGCTTGGAAGGGCTGGGAAAGGAGTACCAAGTCTTACTTTTAAAACATTTTTTTTGGTGGCGGTGAGGGGTACGATCCTGTTGTGCAGTTCAGGCTGGTCTTGAACTCACTGTGTAGCTCAGTCTGGCCTCGGACTCTCAAACTCATGGTGATCTTCCTGCCTCAGCCTCCTAAGTGCTGTGGCTAAAGGTGCCACCATGATGGGCTTTCTAAGTCATATTTAAGCCATCTTCCTGAAACGAGTTCTAGTTAATACAGAACTCTCCCTCCCCACTTCCTTTAAAAATTGAGGTAAGGCACACCTAACGTACGATGTGTTGTCATGACCACTGCGTGCACCATTCGGCAGCATCAGTGTGCCCACCTCCCCACCCCGTCAAGTACGCAGCCCTGCTTTCCCAGTTCCCCCAGCCTCTGGTCACCAGGGCTCTCTGCTGTCACTCAGTTTGCTTGATGCAGGGGGCACCTATAACAGCGTCCTGCTGCGTCCGTCTTTTTTGTGACTGGCTTCTTCCACTTAGCGTAATGGCCTCATGGTTTATCCAGGCAGTGGCGTGCATGAGAACGCTCCTTTCTCTGGGTGTGGTGGCGCACCCCCATAAACCCAGCACTTGGGAGGCTGATGCAGGAGGATTGGAGGCCAGCTTGGGTTACATAATGAGTTCAAGGCCAGCTTGAACTACATAGTGAGACCCTGTCTCAAAAAACTTGGGCAGTAGGAAAAGTCTCCAGCTCAATCCAGTGGCCGCCGCAGGGGGCGTCCTCCAGGAATCTGAGCTGGCCCCTCTGCCATGCTGGAAGTCTGTCTGAGTGATGTCAGTCCCTGGGTGTGTTTTGTATTTCCTTAAAACAGAGAACCGTCCTGCTCAGAACTTGGGCGCCTCAAGGTCATCTTGAATTGCTGCTTCCCGTGAAGTGGGGAGGGCAGCAGGGCAGAGCTACAATTAGTGACAGATACATCAGTGGCAGTTCTCAGCGGGATGGCCCTCGGCTGGGGAGTGACCTCGTCATGCAGTGACCAGCACAGGTCATAAAGGAGGATTCCTTGTAAGAAGCGCCGGGGTTGCAGTGCGTCATTTCAATGCGTCATTTTAGCCGTACATTCTGTCAGTAGCATTTCATTTTATGGCACATTGCACTAGCATGGTATCATCTGGGGGTACACTGTATCATATTTAGGATACATTGTATCGTCTTTACAGGAGCCAGGCCACACCCCCTTGCTCCAGGTTAGTTAAACCTGTAAAACTGCAGACACAGAGAATGTGTGTTTTGGCCAGGAGCGGTGGAATTGAACTCAAGGCTTTTGGATTGAGCTCCGTCTCCAGCCTTTCTCGTTTATTCGTTTTTATTTGGAGACAGGGTCTTGCTAAGGCCCTAAGTTGCCCAGGTTTAACTTGAACGTGGGGTCCCCTGTCACAGCCTCCCAGAGTGCTGGGGTGACAGGCGTGCGCCACTGCACCATGCGTCAGAACCTCAATTTTGAACTGGACGGGAGTGCATCGCGATGGTCTCTGGGCGGCCGTTCTGAGTTCAGGTGTTCTGTCTGCTTCCCAGGCTCAGACCATGAACTACGTGGGGCAGCTGGCCGGCCAGGTGTTCGTGACGGTGAAGGAGCTCTACAAGGGACTGAACCCCGCCACCCTGTCGGGGTGTATTGACATCATCGTCATCCGCCAGCCCAACGGGACCCTGCAGTGCTCTCCGTTCCACGTCCGCTTTGGGAAGATGGGCGTGCTGCGCTCCCGGGAGAAAGTGGTGAGACACTGTCCCTGGCCTGGGCCCTCGGACGCGCACTGTGAGCGCCCCCGGACGCGGCTGCCCCCGACCTGACCGTGACTGGTCAGTCACACGGGGTGTCCAGCTCCTGAGTGCTGGGACCTTGGGCTCGGGGACTGGACCTGGCCCAGGGCTGTGGTTCACCTGTTCCCTGCTGTCGCTGGAGTCATTGAACTCTGGCCCCGTGTGACGAGGTGCTGATGGCGTCTCTCAGCTCAGGTCTGAGCCAGGGCTCGGGCCACATACCTCCGCATGGCCCCTGCGTGTGGCTTGGGCTTCCGTGATGGCAACTCGTGGAGACAGGTGTACTGGGAGAGTGGGCCTGATGGCTCAGGAGGCTGAAAAATACAGGGGAAGATTACACAGAAAAAGTATATCGCAGTAAGGGGTGCATGGCTGCGGATTCCTTCAGAGTCTTCCCCCTCATCACACTCATCCCATTGTCTGTTGCTTTCTGCAGCAGCTCTGGATCCCTCTTTCCTGAGGGTCTTTGGTTGCGCCATCCTGGCTGCCTCGATGTCCTGAATGGATTCAAAATGCTTCTCTTTTATGGTCATCTTGCCTTTTGGAAAGAGCCAGAAGTCACACGGTGCCAGATTTGGTGATGAAGGTGGATGAGGACACAATGTCATGATTTTAAGAGCTGCCTTTCTGCTGGATGGCGCTCAGCAGCAGCATTCACTGTAGTTTTAACCTCACCCGGTAAAGACCGGTAAAGACCCTCAGGAAAGAGGACTCCAGAGCTGCTGCAGAAAGTGGCGAGATGATGGGATGAGCGTGCCTGCGAGAGCGGGAGGATGTTGAGGGGATTCTTGGGAAGGTCTTGGAAAAGTCAGTCTGCCACCACATGGAGAGAGACCATTAGATAGTGACCGAATGTTCCTGCCCCTGGGTTTGGAGCCAGAATGCAGTACCAAGTTGGCTCTGTGAAGCTGAAGACCAGGCTCTGGGCCGAGACTTTGCAGGTCCCAGCCCATGGCAGGTTAAAGTTCCAGCGTGTTGTCTGAAGCCTGGCACCAGGCGTGGGTTGCGGTTTGACCTCCTCCTCTCCACCCTCCAGCTCTGCAGCCCTGGGCAGTCACCCCGCTCAGCTGGGAAAGGGGAGCTGGGCCAGGTGGCTTGGGGCAGCGTGTCCGTCCCGGGCTCCGTGCTCCCGGGTCAGGGCCGTGCTGTCCCGAGCGTGGACCCGGGGGTGCTCGGGGCGGGTGGCGGGGTCAGGTGGATGCCCGAGGCTTGGGGCTGAGCGGGGTCGGGCGCCTGTGCTCAGCGGCGCCTGTGCCCTCGCGCTGTCCTGTGGTGGCCGGCGCTGCCCATTGCCGTTTTCCTCTCCAGGTTGACATAGAAATCAATGGGGAATCTGTGGACTTGCACATGAAACTGGGGGACAACGGAGAAGCGTTTTTTGTGCAAGAGGCGGATAACGATCAGGTGAGGATGGTGGTGGGGGTCGAGATTTACCCGCTCCCTGCTTGCAGCATGGGCGGTGAGGGCTGGGCGGTGACCCAGCGGTGGGCAGGTCACAGACGCATGACCCGGCCTGGTTCAGGTGCAGGACGGGACCCGCACCTCACACTGGGCCCACCCTTGTCCCCAGTGTATGGGTTACACTGGCGTCAGGTGTCATGCGGACAGGTGTTTTGGTTTTTATTTAGGGAGGGACCAGATCCCTTTTATTTCCCGTTACTTTCTGTTCGTTTAGTTAATTGTGGGTTTTTGGAGATAGGGTCTTGCTAGATATCCAGGCTGGCCTTGCACTCACCATGTTCAGTTGATCCATTTCAAGTGTGTGAATCAGTGGCTTTATATATTTATTTTTTTATTCCAAGGTGTAGATTTCTTGCTTTGTTTCTGTTTGAGACAGAGCCTCACTGTGTAGTTCGAGCTGGCTTTGCACTCACTGTGTAGCCCAGGTTGGCCTTGACTGTGCGGCAGTCCTCTTGTCTCACTTCCCGAGTGCTGGGACTTCCTGTTTCTAAGGAAGGAGGCCAGCGGCTCGTTGCTCAGCAGCGTGTACCTGGTGCCCTGGTGTAGGCGGCGATTGGGCACAGCTGTCAGCTAGTGGCTTGTTACTTAAAAAAACCCTTGCCTTAATTCAGTGCGTATTAGAAATGCACTTCCTCTATTTGTGTCCCCACTCGCACTCTGAAATGTGAACTTGCGTCCCCTTCCCAGAGCGCTGTCGCTCTTTGCTCAGCTCCTTCCGTCGACATCACTGACACGCAGCTCACTGCTTCCCTCTGGTCTTTGGGGATAGTTGTCCTTCTGATCGTCCGTGGGAGGGGGCAGCGTGTGTCCAGGGCCTGGTGGCTGGGACACTCTGTCCCCCGGGGTGCAGGCTCCCGAGTGAGGCCTGGCTCACGCCCCCCAGCCTGTCCCGCCCTGCACCCCCACAGGAGGTGATCCCCACGTACCTGGCCACGTCCCCCATCCTGTCAGAGGGCGCCTCGCGCATGGAGTGCCAGCTGAGGAGGAACGCGGCGGACAGGACCAGGGGCCTGGACCCCAGCACCCCTGCCCCGGCCCTGCCCCCCAGCGAGGCCCCCTCCGGCAGCTCGCTGGCGAAGAAGAGGAGGAAGCGCAGGAGGAAGTCCCAGCTGGACAGCTTGAAAAGAGATGACGCCACCAACACGTCCGAGGACGAGGACATGTTCCCCATGGAGATGAGCTCGGACGAGGACGCGGGGCTGCCCGACGGCAACAGGTACCTGTGAGGAGTTCTGCTGCGCAGCCCGGGCTGGCCCTGAGCCTGCAGTCCTCCTGCCTCAGCCTCCTGAGTGCTAAGATCACGGGCATGCACCACAGTTTCAGAAGCGCTGTTCTTCCTGCAGGGAGTTCCTTGTTCTGTGGCTGGGCTGAATGTTGGGATCGGGTGGACCCAACTTAGGTGTGGGAGAGAGATGCAGCATATAACTGAGAGACAGCTAGGAAGGCCGAGCCTCCTCGGCTGGAAACTTCAGCTGCCAGAGTAGAAGCAACGGGCAGGAAGGAAACCGGCTGTGGTGCGCACACTGCTGTAGTCCCCGCCCTCTGGGAGACTGAGGCAGGAGGACCCCAAGGTTGAGCCCACCCTGGGCAATATAGTGACTTACTGACACTGTGTATGAAATGCAATGAAATGAAAGAGACGGAGGCTGTAGCTCATTGTGAAAGCCCCAAGGATAGTCCTGACTAGTGAGAAAAGAGCCAGGAGGCGTAGGTAGCACGTGCCTGTAATTCCAGCACTCAGAGGCTGAGGCAGGAAGATCTCTGAGAATCAAGGCCAGCCTGGACTCCATACTGAGACACTGTCTCAAGAAATAAAAACAAAGATGGCTGAAGCACACACTCACATCTACACACAAACTCTTTCCTTTTTCATTTGGAGCAGGCTCAAAATTTAATGGCCAATTTTATTTGCTTCTAACTGTGCTGGAAAATTGTCCTTGTGTGCATTACTGTTTTGGTGAAAAGTGACAGTTTTGAAAACTCATTTTTAAAGATCACGTGCTGTTTCAATTTTCCATGTCATTTGTGTCCTTCTTGATACTTGTGTTTTACATCTTGGTCACGTGATGGCAGGTCGGGAATATCCCTTTGCCTCATGATTTAGAATCGAATGAGCTTTTTTTTCTGGCTGAAGATGGTTTGGCTCAGCAGCGCCGCTGTCCCCGCACCCACCAGCGCTGTAGTCCAGTCCCGGGTGTGTGTGGGTGGCCGGGGGGTGGACGGCGGGGGGTGGGGGTGGGGTGGGTGCAGCAGAGGCCGCGCATGCGCAGTCCTAACGCGTGCGCCATGCCGAAGCTGCCTGGTTCCGCGGCCGCTGTAACCGGAAGCCATGTTTGCTTGGAGTCTTTTGTTTCACTCGCCAGGCAGAGCACAGCCTGTCTGCGGGCTGCAGCTCCTGTTGGCTCCAGCTGTGTGTGACTGTGGTTCTGTCACACATGGGCCCAGTGCGGGGCCCCGAGATCGCTCGGGACACTGCTTTGAAACATGAAAGGTGACAAACAGACACGGTGCTGTGGTGCGATCTTCTCATCCGTGGATAAGTCCAGATGTTTCTACAAAAGCACTTTTTTCACCTTTTTTCCTTCTTTATCTGTCTGTCTGTCTGTCCGTCTGCTTATCTTTATTTCTTTCTCATACTGAGTCTCATTATGTAGTCCAGGCCAGTCTTGAACTCACTGTGTAGCTCGGGCTGGCCTAGAACTTGCAACAATCTTCCTGCCTCAGCCTCCCGAGTGCTGGGATTGCAGTGTGCACCACCATGCCCAGCTGGACAGAATCTTTCTAGATTTATAATTCAGCCAAAAGCACAAGTGAGCACACACGGGTGTTCTGCTGACATCTCTCTCCCCTCTCCGCTGCCTGGAATGTGCCTGAGTTTACAAGAGGTCAGGATCATGAGGGCTGTTTGACTTTGCCTCTTTTCTCTCTAGAGCGCTGTCTAGTGACGCACCTCCGTTCCAAGATGAACTTCCTAAGGAAAACCTCCCTTCAATCTCGCTGTACCTGCAGTCGGCACCGTACCCCAGTTCAGACAGAGAGTGGTCCCCCTGCCCCAGGTGAGCCGCTCTGTGCGCGAGGGTTCTCCTGTCCTGGTCCAGAGGCGTAGAAGTTAGTTACAGAGCTGGGCGTGGTGGTGCATACCAGTCACTCTCGCACTCAGGAGGCTGACGCAGGAGGATCACCTGAAGTTTGAGGCTGGCTCCCCAGGTGGTGCTGACAGGAGGTAGTTGTGGGCTGTGGGACGCTGGTGGACACAGGTGGCAGCGGGGCTGAGTTGCTCTTGGTTCCCATCCCAAAGCTAGGATCGGAAGTGGAGTTGTTACTTCTGGGGCCACTGTGACAGAGCTGCTGACCCCCGCCCTTCATCCACGGTGCCGGAGTCCCAAAAACGAGTGTGCTCGAGCACCGCAGTGAATGTTTAAGCTGAAAAAAGGTGTTACAGGAAAAGACACATTGCTGTGAGTCCCCGCACAGGCTGGCCCTGGATGCTTGAGCATCCCGCCTCAGCCTTCCGAGGGCTGGAGTCCTAGACGTTATCGTGGGCCGTGGCCTCGGTCGGGGGTTGCAGCGTTAAGAGGTCAGGTGGGCGGCGTGTGGAGCTGCCGGTCTGCCTGCGAGGTGGCAACATTCCTGGCTTCCTTCCGCCCAGGTCCTGCTGTGCCCGTGGCTCGCAGTGGCAGTGCCCTGTGTGTGCGGCAGTGGGTCTTGTCCAGAGCTGGTCTCGGTGAATCCCTCCTGGTCCCAGTGAGCCCAGGGTCGCCCCAAGAATGAGACAGGAACACTCAGCAGTGTGAGCTGAGGTTGGGGACAGCTGGACATGGCGAAACATGCCTGTCATCCCGGCACTCTGGGAGGCTGAGGCAGGAGGGTCTCAAATTCAAGCCCAGCTTGGGCAATTTAGTGATTTAGAGAGATGTTGTTTTAAAATAAAATACATAATAAGGGCTGAGGGTGTAGCTCAGTGCAGAGGCCTTCAGTTCAACAAAAAAGGGGAGATACTTCACATTGTTTTCATACCAAGGCTTCAAAATGAACTGTGTGTTCTACACGTCCAGCACAGCTCAGCTGGAGCTGGGCGTGTTGCTACAGGAAAGCAGCGGCGCAGACCAGACTGAGCAGGCGCAAGACCCTGGAGAGACGCTTGTGTCCTTTCCCTGGGTCTGGAGAGACTGCTTTTGAGGAGAAAACCGTAGTTTGGAAATAAAACAATCAGGGTCCGTAGAATCCACCGGAAGGATGAGAAATCTACACATTAGTGTTAAGAACTGAGGAGCTGTTTAAACCCAGCCCCGAGCAACAGCCTTTAGTATTTTGCCTGTGCATCTGGAGAAGGGGTCACGTCCAGTGCCGTGGTCCTGAGCACGGGGTGGGGATACGCATTGGGATGAGCAGACCCGCTTCTGGACTTGAAGTTGACTGATGGCACTGATTGTCAAACCTTTGGATTAAAGAGTTTGGTTCCATCCAAAACTGTGACCCCAGGAACACTTGGGACAGGGAGGAAATGGGAATTGAAATCCTCTCAAGCATTTCCTGTTGGTGATAGAAAGTTCTCGTCAATTTTCTGTCGATTTCAAGGCAGAGCTCTCAGCCATCAGATGCCCAAATGCCTTCCTTTTCTCACAAACATCACTGTTAAAGAGTAGGTAGGAAGCTGGGCGTAGTGGCGCACATCTGTAATCCCAGCACTTGGGAGGCTGAGGCAGGGGGATCTCCGCAAGTTCAAGACCAGCCTGGGGCACATAGTGAGTTCAAGGCCGGCCTGAGCTACCTAGTGAGACCCTGTCCCAAAAAGACAAAAACAAAAGGGTAAGTACGAAAGAAGAGGTAGGAAATGCCATTTAATTGACCTGTGATTCTTTTTTGGTTTATTGTGTATCGCGGTGCATCCAACAGCCGAGCAGACTGCCAGAGGGCGCCCCCTCAGCCCGAGCCTGCCGCGGAGGGGGGCCTGTCCAGCTCCTGCCCGCCACAGTCTTCCTACCTGCATGCTTCCGAAAGGTAGATGGCAGCGCCCCTCCCCTCGGGTGTGTTCAGTGTGGACATTCGCATGTAACGCTTCAGCATCAAACGCTGCAGATCTACTTTCCCATTAACCTGGAGCAAGCTGTGGATGTTAGCAAGCGGGGATTCTGACCTGACGGGTCTGATTTACTAACTCGCTTACTGATGAAGCAAAGACATAGAGCTTATTGTTTTCCTTTTGCTTTAGGCATTTGTAGATTATTAGCTTTTTTCTTTAAGCCTTAATTGAGTCTCTGGGAATTACGGTTGAGCATATTTTCATTCATTTCCCCTACTTCTGTGGAGTACTTTGGAAACCGGAATAATAAAGCACAGGTTGAGAATAGGACCTTCTATTTTATGTCTAGGATTGTTGAGCAGATGAACCTATGAGATATTTTTAGGATGCCACTGTAGTATAATTTAACATACCTTCTTGTAAATATTTAAATATCCTATTTGGCTGTCTGCGTGGATTCAGACAGCTCCCACTGCAATCCTGCAACAGAATTTAGGAGACTAATACAGGAGATTAGCTAATGTACAATGGACCTGGGGTTCGGATATTTTAATTCGATACAGTTGTCTTAGCTATTTCTCAATTTTTACTTACACACTGACTAATCTCCTTTGTGTTTTACTTTATAAACCCTACCAAGTGAAGCTGTGAGTAGTTTCTACTTGGAAAAACTTTTTTTTGATTAAAGAACCAAACCAAATTGGATGCGATGGCCCAAGCGTGTAATCTCAGCACTGAGGGAGGCTGAGGAAGGAGGATTGCAGGTTTGAGTCCTGACTGGTAATGTAGCTAGACTGTCTCCAAGACAGGGACAGTAGAGCACCGGTGGGTTCAATGCCCGCTACTAAAACCAAACAAAAGAATAAAATGCCATCAAACCTAAAACCAAAAACCCAACGAGCCAAACAAAAAGCCCGAACCTCAGGATACCCCCACGAGAGGTGGTGTGCTCGGAGGCGGGAGGGCCGTTCTAAAACTGAGGGAAATGGGAGACACAGGAGTGACAGTGAAGAGTTACAGTGAGCGTGCCCAGCTGGGACTGCCGGAAACGCGGAACGCTCTCCTTCCTCTCTCTCTCTCTCTGAGTCAGTGTCTCACTTTTCAGTGCAGGGCTGACCTTGAGCTCATTATGTAGCCCAGGCCGGCCTTGAACTCGAGGTGATCCTCCTGCCTCAGCCTCCTGCCTCAGCTTCTCGGAGTGCTGGGATGACAGGTGTGCGCCACCACACTCAGTCAGGGCCACATCAGCCACAGGGGGACCTCTTGGATGGGTAGGAGCTGTGTACCAGGGGCAGCGACAAATCACACCAAACCCACCCGGAGCAGCTTAACACCCTACATAAAGTCTGTGAAAGAGCTAAAGGAAAACTGTGGTCTCTTCGTGTCCTGTTCATTGAAAAGCTCTGCTGCGGTGTGAGAGTGAAGGCAAGAAGGAAATGAAGGCCGTTTTCTTCCCGGCTGTGTGCTGGGCAGAAGTGTGACGTTGTTTAGGTCTTCCAAGTAGAAATGTAAGCCAGGTGAGGTGGTGCACGCCAGCGACCCCAGCCCTCTAGGAGGCTGAGGCGGGAGGATGGCACGTTTGAACCCAGCTTGGTAAATTCACCTTAGTGAGACCCTGTCTGGAAATCGGAAATAGCAAAGGATGGGGTTCAGTCTCCAGTACTGCAGGAAAAGATTAGAGATACAGGGCACGTGGCGGTGAGAAGATGCCGCACCTCCTCGAGGCTGGCCTTTCAGAGAAACAGCGCGATCAGTTGGTACGTGGAACTGCAGCACCTGATGGAGTTTCCTGGTGTCAAAGCCAGGTTGTAACACAGTTTCTCTCGTTTTCAAAGCCAGTGCAGACTTGCAATCATTTGTTTATTTATTTTTGTCTCGCTGTGGAGACCAGGCTGGCCTCAAACCCGTGGCGACCCTCCTGCCTCAGCCTCCCAAGTGTGGGGACGAGGTGTGTGCCACCAGGCCTGGCCTGTGAGTATTTTAAGTAGAAAGTTGGGGCCAGCCAGGGTCCTGCTGTGGCTGTCCCAGAGCCTAGACCGTTGATTTGCGATTGCAGGAGGGGTGAGCTCAGGGCGAGGTGTGGAGGGTGCGGTTGGGAGGATGCCTCCTCTCCTCTGCGTCCTCTCTGTGGATGTCTTCCTGGTCTCCTTTCCTGGTGACTCTTCCTCCTGTCTCTGGGGGCTCCAGCTGCGCCAGCTCAGGCTCCTTCCTCTGGACAGGGGCGCGGCGACCTCTGGTGGCCAGAGCCGGGATCACCACGGCTCTTCCTGGTTGTGGACCCCAGGCGCCCTGAGTGATGTGAGTGATGGTTCCCATTTGCTTAAGCCCTGCAGGCTCGCGGCCCTCCACCCCGAAGAGTGACTCCGAGCTGGTGAGCAAGGGCAGCGACCGCGCGGCGCCCAGGAGCAACCTGGAGATGCTGTGGTTGTGGGGAGAGCTGCCGCAGGCCGCCAAGGTGAGCCAGGCCGGGCCTCAGTGCCCTGGTGTTTCCCTCAGCCCCAGCCCGAGAACCAGGAGCCTATGGGAGCAAAATCACAGGGAGCTGTGCAGTAGCAGCACACCAAGAAGACGCCCTGTGGTTATATTTTTATTATTTTCTTTCATGAGACAGGGTGTCGCTATGTAGTCCAGGCTGGCCTTGAACTCACTGTGTAGCTCAGGAGTGCCCCCAACTTGTAGAGATCCTCCTGTCTCAGCCTCCTGGGAGTATCCATGTGTGCCGCCTTGCCTGGTTGTGTGTATTTTAAACACACAGAACAACTAGGTGGAAAAGCACCGTCTGGCTGGCAGTGTGGGGATCCCCATCTTAGTAGCTGCTTTGACTGTGCCCCCAGGATGAACACCATCTTGCCTCGTCGTCGTAGCAGAGATTAGTTTTGCGAGATTCATTCTGGGAGGCTGAGGCAGCAAGAGTGCAAGTTTTAAGGTCAGCCTGGCCAACTTAGTAACTTAGTGAGACCCTGTCTCAAAGTAAAATAAAAAAATTTTTGTTTTGTTTTTTGTCTTGTTGAGACAGGGTTTCGCTATGCAGTTCAGGCTGGCTTTGAACTCAGAGCGATTCTTCTGCCTCAGCCTCCTGAGTGCTGGGGTTGCAGGTTGTGCACCACCATACCCTGGCTATAATAAAAAAAAAAATTTAAAAAAGTCTGGGGATGCAGCTTGGTGAGAAGGCCCTGGGTTCAATCCCCAGTACTGATGCCGGACATGGTGGCATACGCCTGTAATCCCAGCACTTGGGAGGCTGAGGCAGGAGGATCGTTGCAAGTTTGAGACAAGCCTGGGCTACAAAGTGAGCTCAAGGCCAGCCTGAACTGCATAGTGAGACCCTGTCTCAAAAAGACAGAAAAAAAAAAAAAAAAAAAAAAACCCCAGTACTGGAAAAAATAAAAAATAAAAAATGGCCTTAGCCACAGAAGGTTGTTAACTGACCCCTTTTTCTCTGGTGGCTCAGTGTGTCTTTTGGCCTGTGTTTGGCCTTTTCTCCAATCTCCTTTCTCTCCCTTTTTTGCTCTAGTCCTCTCCGCACAAGATGAAAGAACCTAGCCCACTGAGCAGTAGAAAGATAAGTGACAAAACCCACTTCCAGGCCATCCACAGCGAATCCTCAGATACCTTCAGCGACCAGTCGCCGACACTGGCTGGGGCGCTGCTCACAGATCTGAGTCGGCCGCAGCCAGAGATGCAGCTGGTGACTGAGGAGGACCTCGAGGCCCTGGGAGCAGCTGCCCCACCTGTGCCAGTGACCGAGGAGCCCAAACCCCCAGCTACCAGCGTGGCACAGCCGGTGAGCAAGACGGACTCTCCCCGGAGGAAAGGTAGGAGCCAGGCTAAGGCCGGCACTGCGATGTGACATGTATCCCATTTCATCTGTGCTCCCCTCTGGAGTGTGTCTGTCAGCTTTGCTGTGGCTGGGACGAGACACCTGACTCCCACAGCTGTGAGGAGGGGCGCGTGGGTCTGGGTCACGGTTTCGGGGGTTCAGTCCACGGTCGACTGCTTCAGGGCGGGAACAACATGGCGGAGGGCGTGGGGGAGCAGAGCTGCTCAGTTTGTGGTGGCAGGAAGCTGAGCAGGGGACAGACCAGAGAGGAAGGGGTCAGGACTTAGTGCCTGAGCTCATGCCCCCACGATCATGCAGACAAACCCAGAAATGAGCTTTTCTTTTTTTTTTTATTTTTATTTTTTTTGTATTTAAAGAGGAAAACAACCCAAAATAACAACAAAGACAAAAAAACAAAGGCAAAAATGAAGCAACACAAAAACAATAAAAACAGGATAGGATTTCAAAACAAGATAACAGGAATTGACAGTGGTTGTTATATTACATACTGTTATCTGCAGGAAAGTTGCTAGATTACCAGATGTAAGAATGCAAGACTGATTAAATAATTAAAGAGAATAAAAAAGTAGAAATGATACAGAGCTTCACTAAACAAGATGGTAAGAATTAAACAGTGGTTGTTATATTGCATATTGTTGTCTTCAAATTAGTTGTTCAAATTACCTGATATGAGCATGCAAAATTGGTCAAGAAAAAAATTAAGCATTAACTGTTT